AATGATACTTGGTTTGTTTAACGAGAATAAAATCTCCTTAAGATTATACTTTTTTTCACGGACTATTTCCCCAACAGTTGTACTGAGGGCAATATTGTGAACAAAAAATAATGGCTGCCATTTTCCTTAATATTTCCTTACGTAATTATTGTAATGAAGATCGGAGTCGAAAGAAAAACGCTTGACTTTGCTACCTTTCATTTTATGTACCTAATTGTTTATCAGATTACTAATCTTATCAATAAAATAGAATCGCTGTTCGTTAGTATCACTAAAACATGAGAAGGGCCGGACCGATGACGTGTTTTTTTATTGGTAGTCTTGGAATATTCCTGGATACACAGAAGTTTAAAAGGTCATAATATATGACTATGTAAAAATAAAGTTATATTTGAAACGTATGTATAATGGACATAAAATATTTACTAGAACATCAATTTTTCAATTATCCTTTCTCTGTGTAGGAAAGTCAATTGGATTTGGGATGAATGGGCTGATTTGATCAGAATGAATACATAAAACCGGCTTGCAACAATGTTTCACCAATGCAAGTGCTGTTTATTACGAGGCCTGCTGCAGAGCGAGAGGAACTGGGAAACTATCAACACTTTCTGCGAAGAAGTCATGCTCTCAAAGAAGGAGAAAGAAGATGGGGATTAATAGAGCTGATGTTTATCCAGGGTTGTTTTTGCAGGCGCTGTAACGTATCGTAGCCCCCGCCCGAAGCAGGAGAAGGAATGGGATAAAGTCTGTAAGGATTTGACTCTTCCTCTCGTCTCACCAAAGGCGGCAGAAGTCATTCACTACAAAAAAAAAACTGTACCTATTTGAGGTTCCTAACTCACACGATTAAATTCACTCGATGTAAGTGAATTTTATCCGTATTCCATATTCCGTAATCCTCGAATCCTTAGCCCCCAAAAGGCTAGCTAGGCACTTTCGACTTCTTGGTTACCGGGCTGTGCGTTTGCCGGTATCCCATAAAAATTGTATTATTTCACTTATTACAATGAGGACCTTACCAATAGACTGAAAGGGATAGAGCATTTATTTAAACTAGTCTGTTCTAAGTCTCCTTTTATAGAGGGGTCATTGCCATACATATACATAACTAAATAGTATGATCCAAATCGTTTCACAGTTCACATTGAAATATGTTGAACTAGCTACTCTCACGCGGTTTCACCCGCTACTCGGCTCCATTTGATCGTAGCGTGATGTTTTATAGCCTCAGCACTCAGTAATGTTGTAGCTGTTCAAAGCCAGCGGTTCAAAGGATTACCTCCTACATACAAACTTACAAACTTTCAAATTTTACCTCTTTATAATATTAGTATAGATATTTTTTTTAAATCAATTTGTGTTTATGTTTACATTCTTGGTGCAACAAAACATTCCATATGTGAAATTAATGCCATAAACAATATCTCTAATCGGCCGAAAAATGCATTCACACACATTTTTAAGTCCTCATTTCAAAGTTTACAAGTAGGAAAAAGTGAGGACTGCGTCTGTGTTCTCTCTATCAGTCTAAGATTGACCATTATTGATTTCTATTATAAGTATTGCATCTATAATTAGCCAGTTAACTAGTTAATTTCATACTGCATTGTGGATGAAGAAATCGGTTCACAAAGCGATATTATTCCGTAACTGTGAACAATTCGTTTATGTAACCAAGTCTTGAGTTAATAACAATTTGTTACAATAGTTAATGAGTGATAATATCTATCTGTATTTAAAGTCTGGCAACGTGCTTGTGATTTCTCTGATGCCGCGGGTGTCGAGCGGCGCTGAACACTTACCATCAGGCGATCCGTCTGCTCGTTGGCCTCGTATTCCATAAAATAAATAATGATAACAGTATTTTTAAATACATTACACCTTTTATTCTGTTCTTTACTGGTCTTCCTCTTAAAAAAGAATTACTCTGTCCGTCACTCTTCTTCGCTAAAACTCTGGGATGGTTTAACAGACTCAGCTTATTTTATTTTAGAAATGTTCGTTAAAGTTTAACCAGTCAGAGAACATGAATTGATTATCTATTTCCTTTCCTAATCAAACTGTTAAACTAATTACATACATTTGACAAGTAACAAAACTGTCATTATGTATTTAACTTAACATTGCTATATAAGTTACTAGCTATTCTCGCGCGGTTTCACCCGCTACTCAGCGCAATTTAATCGTAGCGTCATGTTTTATAGCCTATAGCACTAAGGAACATTGTAGCTATCTATCAGTGAAAGAATTTTGGCAATCGACCAGCGGTTAAAAAGATTACCCCCTACATACAAACTTACAAATTTTACCTCTTTACAATATTAGTATAGAAGTATATCTAGATTTTTATGAGTCTCAGAGCTCCTCAGAGCAGTTTATTTATTAATTAATTTGTTTTTAATTAGTTAGTTATAATTTCATCACCTGTCGTTACGCATTTTGGCTATAACATTATTCATTACGTCTGTAATATGAATAAGATATTAGGTGTTATATTAACTTAAATGTATAGCAATTAAGTAGATTTTAATTATTTACATATAAATATTTATCGTCTGAACTTTATGCCTGTACTCATCCTTTTTTGTGCGAAATAAAACCTTTTACTTGTTTATTGTCACGGTAGATGATCTGATTATATTAATTTTGTGATTATAATGTTAAATTTTCAGGTTTGAATTGCGTCATTTTCTCCATAAGTACCTAGTAACAATAATATTAAGAGTGATTTACTTTAATAAAATAGCTAAATATGATGGACACGTGGATGACTATAATATAATTACTTGGTTCTTGATAGACTTTCTACACGTATTTGGCCGAGTTTGTTTTTGTAAGATTTTGTCAGATAATACCATTAACTATTATACACTAACTACCCTATAATATACTATGATTGTCTCCTTTGTCTTGGGTTCGTTGACAAATATACAAATTCATATAGGTACCTACATAATTATCACTACTAGACCCAGAACAACGATCTATCGATCACACATAAAGGTATTCCTTGCGTAAAAAACAAACACTTACTTATTTATTTGATTTTATGATATTTTTAGAAATAATGCGCTAGCGCAATAATACTTCGGTCTGGAGCAAGTGAAGGAACGGGATATGTTTAGTCAGTATATCATGCCTGATACTCCTTCTCGCAGGGTGGCAGAATAAGTACGTAAGTTTATAGTCGTAATAATATTTGGCTAAGTCAATTAACAATCTTTAAATGGCAATTTTTAGCAAGAGTCAAATTGATATGGAGTCGTGATGATCAAAATTCTTATCTTTTTAAATCTTTAAATTTTTACTCTCTCTATCTCAATTTCGTTGCAATATCGTTGATTTTATAACTTTTGGGGGTAGAGAGTTAAGATAAGTAGGGATAGATAGGTAGGGGAGTGGAAGGGGTTGGGATTAGTGCTCTAATTAGTTAATCCACATGATGAAGTCGAGGAATGGACGTGGTTTATCCGGCAACCGGGATAAATCAATTCGAATATCCTACCAAAATAACTCGTAACTCTTCTGATGTTGTGGATGTCCATGAGCGGCGCGATAGCTTACCATCGGGTAATACAACTGCTCGTTGTTCGCTCTGTCACAAAAAAAACCTATACCATAAAAAAGAACAGGCATTCAACCTTGGTTAATAAGGGACAGCACAGAAGTAGTTCAGATTACGTCTGCACTATTGCGTTCAAGGTTAATAGAACGGAACAGAGTGTCATTCGTTGGTCAACCAACTACCATTGGTTGTGTTGGTAACCTACTTTGTACAAGCGAAGATGGCCATAGCGATATGGATGCAGTTTTTTGTGATCCAAAAATTCTTGTTTCGGATCTGAAACTGATATTATGTTTGTGTGTTAACTTATTGGCCATCATCATCATCGTCAGTCTATAAGTGCCCGCTGCTGAGCAAATGCCTCTTCTCGTACGGAGAAGGTTAGAACATTAATCACCACGCGTGCTCAATGCGGGTTGGCGATTTCGAACTTATAATTAGAAATTATAAGTCCAGGCTTCCTCACGATGTTTACCTTCACCGTATGTCAGTGGTATCTAAATAATCATAGAACATATAACTCGGAAAAAGTCACATTGGTACTTGCCAGGTTTCGAACCCATATCCTCATGCATGAGGAGCGGGCTCCTTAACCTCCGGGCCACCACGACTTAACTTATTGGTAAAGATATAGAAAACTAGCGGCCTGTCCCTGCTTCGCACGGGTCTCCAACTATCTCGCTAACGTCGTAATGGTGCCAATTTCCCAGCTCTCCACTCTACTTTATTAAAAATTTATTTCATAAGAATCTTCTCCTGATAATAACAAAATTGGTCCAGGTGTTGTTGAGTTATGCGCTTACCAACACATTTTGCGATTCATTTTTGTATGTATAGGTATAAAGATAATATTTCAAATAAATTAAGAAATAGTTTCTGGTCTATTTCCTGACTCTCTCCAATTGGATGTTTGATGATTGGGGTTACCACACACACATGTTCATAAAATTTAGGTCATCGAATGCATTTATTGTTTATACTTTTTGTGTCGGTTATTCAAGCTTATAATAATTATTTTTTATTTAATTACCTACTTAAAAATTTTAATTTTCTCAACGAGAGCGTTATTATGATGTTCTGAAACTAAGAGGTATTCTTTTAATTTGTGTGTGATTAGTCAAGTAAAATTTTATGAACCTTGAATAAGTACTGTATTATTTTTTATTTGAGTTTTATTTCATTAAGTGTGTCTATAATTTTTGTATACCATACGTCCTGTAAGGGATTTGACAAATGAAACAAGAATTACAGAAAATGTGTATTATCAAAACCTAACATTAAAGACGTTACACACGCCATAACAAAGATTATAAGAACAAATTGAGCAATACTTTGGTTGAAAAATACAACATTTACTTCACTGAATGCCACACAAAATTGTACTTTACAACAAATAAGATAGACGACAAAATTGCAAAGCAGTTCAGCAAGCACTTGAAAAAACAACCATCATCAATATAAACTATAAAATGGTAACTGAAATAAGCGACAGTGAAGAGACGCTACCCGATCAAGTTGAAAAGACTTTAGCTACAACACAATTATATGAAGACGATAGGACTTTTTAACTTGACAGAGTATTAGTTAAAGTGAATAGTTTAGTCTATCACAAGTTGACGGAAGGATCCGTCGATGCCAAAGAGCTCATCGTAGTTTGTGGGCTTGCCTGGCCTGAGAGCTTCGTTGGCCTTAAGGTTCTCCTGTTCCGCGAACCAATCTTTGTATTCATCTAGTTTCTTGACCCAGGCATCTAGAAAAAAGAAACAATCAACAATTAGTCTTAAAGTGTTGTTATCATTGGATGTATGGACATCTTTACATAATCATGGGAACGAAATGTGTTCTCTTGGTTTAACATAATTATTTTTTAATTTGTCTTTAATTATTTTATCAGCATCAGTCTGCTCAGCAGTGGGCACTTATAGGCTGGTGTTGTGTTGATGTGATTCTTTAATATTGTGTCTATTTAGGGCTTAGTTGTCACAAAACTCATTGTCGTTATCTATTACTATGTGTAGAACAATATTGCTTTGTAAAAATGATTCTTCTGTTGCTTCCATCACTTCTTTTCTCTAAATATCTTTGGAATCATGATCTGTACTTACTGTGGAGATCATTCATGGGTCCAGCGTTACCGCCGTATTCTTGAGGCAACATTTCCTTAGGAACGTATTTGTAGAGATCATTTGTGTCCGTATGCAGGAAGATCTAAAACAGAGCAAAATGGTTAATATTTCTTGCAGAATAAAGTTGAAAATACGAAAGTATTGAAAAGACTTATGTAAAATACGTTCTTATTTCTTTATGATAATAATGTAATTGAATTAATTCATTCTTTTCTATCAATACTTTAAAGTATTAGGTAACTAACTATATATAGATATAAAATGCAACGTCTGGTTTTATAAAAAAAAATTTTACAAAATAAAAAAACCGCCTTCAAAAAAAGTCAAGCAATAAAAGTTCCTACACTAAAAAGTAAAAAATAACAATTTGAATTACTGTAAAAAAACTTAGTTTATAGGTAAACTTATTTGACATTAATATTTTGCAAATATTCAAAATTTATTACTTATTTTTGGAGTCGGTGCCAGCATTTTAATGTTGAAACTTAATGTTAGTTAGCTTTTTAATATCCGGTGCCATTTTTCGTACATAATGCTTAAACATTTTCAATGTACTTAAAATGTTTTTGTAAGTATATATTTTTTATTTAAAAAAAATGTGCAAATCGGACATTTTTTGTAGAGAAGTCTAATCTGTATTTATGTCTTAATTAATATACCTATATTTGAGTATGCAAATAGGTATTAAGTAGTTTTATAATTAAGTAAGAGGTAGTTTTTCAAGGGATTGTTGCCCATTTGTATTTCCTTGCATGGGCTGGCACCGACTCCAAAAATTGGTAATAAATTTTGAATATTTGCAAAATATTAATGTCAAATAAGTTTACCTATAAACTAAGTTTTTTTACAGTAATTCAAATTGTTATTTTTTACTTTTTAGTGTAGGAACTTTTATTGCTTGACTTTTTTTGAAGGCGGTTTTTTTATTTTGTAAAATTTTTTTTTATTTGTAGCCGTTTAGTGTTTTTTTTTATTATAATGTGTTATGGCAAAGAAGTCAATATCGTTCCTACATTTCTTTTGAAAAAGTTACCAATGTCATACTTATACGTAGAAATACATATCATAGTACATTGTTACTGTGTAATCGTTTTGATCTCGAGGAGAGATGATATGATGCATGAGATACTTATGACTTATAGTTAAAAAAAAATAATAATCTTATCATAAATTCATATTAGTTCTCGCCAAATAACAAAAAACTAGATATTTTCATCAACAGACAGATAAAGTTCAAAGATACCAAATGCAATCTAATTTAGTATCTATGATTAAATACATTCGTACATAGAAAAAAGACCGATGCAATTATTGTTTTGTATCAATTGTAACCCATTAAATGAAGAATACTATTTTGTTATTACTAAGAACATTCATATATAGACAAGTTGGTAAAAATACAAAAGACCATCGCTATTGTAAATATACATTTATGAGTCATTCAATGTATGAACCTTTTTTAAGTAAGTATTATCTACATATGTGCACACAAAAGAAACACAATTATTGTTTTGTACGACGCAATTATTGTTTTGTAACCCATTTAAAACGACTGTTTTGTTAAAAGTGCCAATGAATTCTCTTAGCCTATTACCAGGAAAACGATAAGAACACAATGACGCATTTCACCACTAATGTGTAAACGCAGTCCACGTGGACTAATGCAAAATAGCCAATACTAGGCCAAACTCCGCCCCCAAAGGTGTGCGGTCCCGCTCTAGAACCTTTCGGCCCCATCGGCCATCTGTTCTACGAGCAATGTGCCGTGCCCACTGTCACTTAAGTTTGGCATTTCTTCGGGCTATGTCGGTGACGCTGGTTCTTCTGCGGATTTCTTCATTTCTGATTCGAACATGCACGGAAACTATGAGCATAGCCCTTTCCATTGCTCTTGACAGCTCTAATAAGCTTACACAATACTAGGCCCCATGCCAACCTTCCAGCTTCATCATCACATCAGTTCAATAGTACCTTACAGCCAAAGTGCATCTTATAACAATTCTAACAAGCCCAAACACGGCTAGGATATATTAATTAGGTACGCAGTTCCAGTGCCTACCTTCCAGCTCCATAATCATCATTAAATCAGTTCGATGATAACATTTCCAACATAATTATTTAAGATCATTGGTTTACAGTGCATTTTCATAGTTGCTGAACTACCTTGATTGTGATATCTATGCGAGTGTAAAGTTTCATCACCCATTTCTGATCTTCTTCACCAGTTCCACCCCATCAAATATTACTTTTTGACTGTAAATGCTTGAGTGCTCTATGAAAATATTAAAATTACTATATAGTTGCCTATAATATTTGAGGAGTTCCCTCGATTTCTCATGGATCCCATCATCAAAACTCAATTTTGAAAAGAATGGGACCAATCTGGAAGCATATCCTTTCAATCATAAAAAAAATTTTGCAAATCCGTCCATAAACGACGGAGTTCTGAGGTAACAAACATAAAAAAAAAAATAAAAAAAAAAATAAAAAAAAAAATACAATCGAATTGAGAACCTCCTCCTTTTTTTGAAGTCGGTTAAAAATATACTTTTTGCATAATACAATAACAGTCGGCAGTTATGCCGTGCGAAAAATGTTATGTAAATGTGCATTCATTAAAGAGTGCATATAAACGACTAAAAATTCATATAGATGGCCCAACAGACTTTAAACTACATCAGCGCCATCTAGCCGTGACAAAAACGATCGACTTAAGGTAGGTTTCTGGAAAATCTTTTTCTCAGCAGAAATAAATAATTTTGTATGATTGTTTTAGAACTTAATTTGTCAAGAAAGCAACTATCACTTGAGACTGTCAAACCACAATGCTATAGTAATCCTACTTACTCTTTCTTTGATCTTGTCCTTGATAAAAGGTTTCACGAAGTTGACGATCTTGTCAACAAGGGGTGATACGTTGATGACGTGGACTTCCTTCAGCTTGACTGGGTAGGCCTCCTGTGAATCATTAGATAATTTGGTTATTAGGTAGGTTAATTTTTTTTATAAAAAACTGGATTAATGTTCGATCTAGCCGATAATGATGAGCTAATAAAAGGAGCATCATTTTGTGCGAACTAGCTGGTACAATAATTTTGAATTCCTCAAGTGTTTATGATGAAACCAAAAATTTGAAAAATTTGATAAATATCCTCTTTACGAAAATGATATTCAAGCGCTTGTGTACCGAGTAAAAAACTGTCAAAAAATAATATCTTGAGCTTTCCACACACATTTGACATAGCGGATCCGGTTTAATGACATAACAAAGAAATGGACTATGAAACTGGTTCCGATTTAATGATGAACTGTGAAACTGATTGAAAAAAGTCACTTTTCAAGTTTAAAAACAAATTTAATTGCTAAGCTGTATATTTCTAATGATAATTATATTTTTCTACAACCCATTTGGTACTATTTTTTGCAACCTCATACGAATAGACTACAATAACAATTTAAGTAATAAATACAGTTTTTTGTTATATTTTCCATTACCGCACATAACATCTTGAAGTTCAAGATTTTGGGGCCTTGGCCTTACCAAACACGGATCACCTATTTGACGCTTCTAGATTTTTTTTATCGTTAAATGCGATTATAGTGATTCTTTTACATAATTTAAAATAGCTAATGTTCTCTTGTGTTTTGATTAATTTATTTATTTGTGTGGAAGCTAATGTTAGCTAGATTAATCGTTCTTTATTCCCCAAATCTGACTCGGAAATCAATGTAGGTCGTTGAACCTCGCTCTTGTACAATCTACAGTTAATTACTGAATATACTATTTTTTATGGTGTTGTCTGGTCCGATATCTTATAGGAAAGATGTTGTTTTGGTAATAGAGTCGGTATTTTTTATACTTCAGAGATTTGAATACCTGTTCTTTACTAGCTAGCAAAGTTTCAAATTTATAATTATAAATGCTAAGAATAACACAAGCTACTAGCAGAAAGTGAAATTAGATGTAATTTAGGGACAGTTGGACTGATTTATTTTAGGTACGCAAGGAGGCCTTAGTGGCGGAGTGGCAGACGCGTTTAGCGCAACCCACGGCGGGGCACGCCGCTATAGCGGCGGTAAGGCCAATTCTACAGGAGTGGCTCAATAGGAGCCACGGCGCCCTCAGCTTCCGGCTGACGCAGGTGCTTACCGGACACGGGTGTTTCGGGAAGTACCTGTGTCGCATAGGCCGGGAGCCGACGTCTCAGTGCCACCATTGTGGTAATTGCCGCGACGATACGGCGCTGCATACGTTGGCGGAATGTCCAGCTTGGGCCGAGCAGCGCCGTGACCTGGTCGCGGCCGTAGGGGCTGCGGGAGATCTCTCGCTTCCGGCTGTAGTGTCTACTATGGTCGGGAGCGAGTCAGGGTGGAGTGCCGTCGCTGTCTTTTGCGAGGCCGTGATGCTCGCAAAGGAGGCGGCGGAAAGGGAGAGAGAGGCTGCCTCCTCTCTTCCCTCCCGCAGCAGACGCACTAGACGTCGTAGAGTGGCCGACCTGCGGCCACCGTAGGGCGCGGCCTGCGGACGACAGACTCGGGGCGTCTAGTCGTCCGACCAGCAGCAGGCCTCGAGGCGGCGGTGCCGTGTTCCGCGCGCGCCTCATAGTGGAGTCCTGCGGTCGGGGTGACGGCCGCAGTGGGTGACGGGGCCCGCCTTACCATCTGGCGGGCCAATACCAGTCGGGGGGTTGCGACGAATGCTTCGGCGATACCCGCCCCTCCGACACATGGGTTATTGGAGGAACACCGGGTTGGTTTTTAGTCAGTAAGAGTCTGACAGTACCCTTCGCCCTTACCCCGAGGGCGGTGGGTCTCCATGAGGATTTTCCAACCCGACACCAAAAAAAAAAACAAAAAAAAAAAAAGGTACGCAAGGAGAAAAAATCTCCTCAAAAACCAATTTGAATTTCTATTGTCATCTAAGTGCTGATCACCCTACTAAAAGTCTTTTAAATGTTATATTAAAATCCAGTTCTAAGCCAATGTTTTCGGAACATCTCATCTGAATAGTTACAAAGAAATAATTTTGTAAATCATATAAATGAATTTATGTTTAATCCTTAAAAAATTCTGAACAAAAATATTGAAACCTCTACTAACCTGAACACAGACTAGGAATTTCTTGACCAGGGTTGGTGTGAACTTGGCGAAATGAGTTGGGGTTGCCACAGAAGCGTCTAGAACGTACACATCTCCTGCAACTCCCTCCTTCTCTTCTGCCAGTCTGACGTCACCCAGCATAAGAGCTAGCTTGAAGGCGTCTGCCACATTCGGGGTCTGTATATCTTTGTCAACACCTGACAGGAAGAAAAATGTTTAAATAGAGGAATGGTTTGTTCTTCTACCAAGTCCAAGTTTCGGTCTTCTTTGAGCTGAGTCAATTCAAGAGAATTGTGCAAAATTTGAGTGTTATGAATTACACATTAATTTGGAAGTGGTAGACAAAACTTATCTGAGTGCTTTGTGAACCAATGCTAAAGCGAATTCCAGTCTCATTTAAACTCAAGATAAATACAAAGTTATGAATCAGAATCGAACAAATTCATATTATAATACTGGTCTTTTGAAGAAAGACCCACAGCAGCTTTAGTAAACCCATTTGTTTTTGAGTCAGCTTATTGGCTTATTAGTCGAAAATTTAAGCTCTATATCTTACTACACTAGACGAAATTAGGTTGAAAGTTAGGTAGTTTAAAATATCTGTTTTGATTAATAATACATACCTCTCATGACAATAACACGTCTGCCCTCTGGTGTAAGTCCCGGCAGTGGTGGCATTTGCCTGTAAAGATAAAGAATTACAATATTAATGTTAAGTTTTGTATATATTATATAAATATTCCTAAATTTTACAGCCCAACATCGCTAATAACACTTTCAGCATTACTTGTCGTAATCAGAAGCATTTAATGACTCTTAAGCTGACGGTATAATAACATATTTTTAACAACATTGGCAGCTATTAGTTTTAAATTGACTTGATTAACAGTTAAAGGTAAGAGAGGTCAAGAAACGCCTCTTCCCACACGAAGAAGGTATTGGTATTAACGTGCTTGCTCAAATTATCATTTAAAATGATGAGTAAAGGTTTTTGAAAACGCCTGGGTCGCTTGGGTAAGCGTAATAATGGCCGGCTTGAGGACAAGGAGCGGGGTAGTTTTTAGTCAGTAAGATTCTGGCACAATCTTTTTCGACTCCAGGGCAAGACTCTCGCCCTCTCAGAAATTACTCCTCATTTGATGATATCCCCCTTCCCCCTAAAAAAGCAAAACAGGTTTCAAACCCCTAATACTTGCAAGGTGAGTGCATCAAATTTTATAATTTATAGAAACCTTTGTCTGTACATTTATCATGTATAAAAATCTGAGAAAATCCGTATAATTTGTGGTAATGACGTCATGTGTTGTAATTATTCGCATGCAACTTTTAATTGTTGCATGTTATTCCAAACGTAGGTACCTATGTACATAATATTATTAAATTTATTATCAGCTGTAATTCTGTATTTAAATAATGTAAAATGACTAATAAATTACGCACTCGTTGTTTTAGTCGCTGTAGTTATTTTAATATTACACAACTAATGGTATTTTTATTGTGAGTTACTAAAATTGTTGTGTGTGTTTTTAATTTATTGTTTTTCAGATGAATATTTAAGGGGAAGTTACAGTATATTTAGAAAATGTAGTTAGATGTTTCATCCTTAGCATTATTTTCAAAACAGTTTCATTTGTCGTTTTTTTTTTTTTTGGAAGTGTCAGGCTCTTTCTGGCTATAAACTTTCCCGTTCTTTTTCTTGGATAAAATATGTACTTTAAGTAACCATTTATTAATTAGCGTATCTACATACGGCAGCTATAATGATTAAAATGAGACTATTTACACAAAGAGTAAAAGGTAAACCCACGCAATATCTTTGCCGAAGCATAACATCATAAAAAAAACAAAGAAAAAAAAACTGTTTTGAAAACATCTGCTTTTAAATTGTTCAGTGCGTTTAACTTCGACATGAATATTGAAATAAAATGCAATTTTTCAGTAGGTAAAGTTATTGTTTAGCCGTCATATTATTCACATTCATAAATAATTAGTTAATTCCTGTAGGTATGAATAACGCGTAACCTGGAGGTGAAGGATTTGCTAGTAGGTACATGTCGTTACTTGGTAGAAGGTGTGTACACTTTTATTGCTTTTATAATGCCTTCTTTGATTGTTATATGTGTTATTATGCTGTATTGCGCCTATCGTGCATTCATATTTCGTGATAAGCCCATGATACTATAATTATAATCAACTTTGACTTTGATTACACGATGCCCGGGCAACTGGCTACCGCATAACGTGTCGCGGTTTCGATTCCCTCACGGAACAACTCTTTGTGTGATCCACAAATTGTTGTTCCTGATCTGGGTGTGATGTGGATGTAAATTTGTATGCTTGTAAACGCACCCATGACACGAGAGAAAATCCTAAAGGAAAAAAATAAGAACTGTCGACGGTATCTATATATTTTCCCGAGAGATATTTCCCAATTTTCTGCGTTTGTTGTTTGTTTTTTGTTTCTTATTGTCAGGTCTTATCCCTTCCCTGACTATAACAACCACTATAAAATAGCCAAATTGGTTCAGGAATTCTTGAGTTATAAATGCACTTACCAACATACTCTCATAGATTATTGGTGATGATCATTGGTGGCCCCGGGGTTAAGGCGCTCGCTTTACATGCATGAGGGTTCGAAACCGGGCAAGTACCAATATGACTTTTTCCGAGTTATATGTACTTTCTATGATTATATAGACACCACTGACATATGATGAAGGTAAACATCGAAGGAAACCTGGACTGGACTTTGAAATCGCCAACCCGCATTGCATAGGCTGATGATGATGATGAAGATATTTATATAGATTAATAGTTTTGAATACTTACACCATGTTTAATATCTCCTGAAGTTCAGGGCGGTTGACGTCACGGTCGTTGAAGAATTCAGGGACGGCCGCACGCATCGTGAAGTACATGTCCAGCTTACGCTTGGTCTTCTCCAAGGAGAACTTGCAACCACGGAGGAAGGTCATGATACGCTGGTCATCTGGTGGGAAAAAATGTGATTGATGTAAAGGGGAATTTGTTTATTACAATTAGAATTACACTAAATGCAAAAGATTAATTATTTAATTACTGGATGGACCGTATTGTATTTTCAAAATAAGCTTAAGGCGCTTATACAATTTTCGATGTTTTGCATTGCTGCAAAAGGCTCATTTTAATTATCTCTTACATTAGAATTAAACGTTTAAGATGTAGTCAATTAACAAGATTTCATATCATATAGAAAACCTGTAGAGAATGCAAGCAATATGAATCTAAAAAGAAAAAAGAGTTTGAAATTATAAGTGTGAAATATCACCTTATTAATTTTTGTCTTTATGAAAGAAAATTTAAGTGATTTGCTTTGGCTCTTAGAAGCTGTAGCCTTAAAATTTTCGATGAATATAGATGAAACAAACATAAATGCCAGAATCGTGTCTTTTTTTGTCTTCCTACTACTAAGGTACTACTACTACTGACGAACAGACTGACAGACTCTGTTATGGCATTTCCGAGGTAAACGAATTTGATTTTGATTTTGACTTTGACTCAAAGGCGATTGCGTCTTACCGAACTCATCAGGTAGATGGGGTTCCTTCTTGAGCCACTCCTTGATATGTGCCAGGTCAGCATCCTTAGTGTCCGCCTTCTCATTCAACTCCTCACGGATCTTCTGCCACATCTCTCCGGCTGGCTGTTCTAGGGTCATCTTGGATGCTTCGACTGGTCCTGTGGAAAAGTTAGGCTTTAATAACGTAATAAGATATTATTTTTAGAAAGGTAAAAGAATCACATATGGTGTCAATATTTTTCTTTTCTATTTTGTTTTAATACGGCATGTAAAGGATAAAGTTTTCTTATATTGCTATTGAATTTTAGTCTTAATTGTACTTAATAATTTTAATTTTTATTTAAACAAATGTTCAAAAATCCTTACTAAACACGAACGTTGTGTTATTGTTAAAATCAAGGTCGTTAATTTAACAGATTTTTAACTGAATTCCGCCTAAGACTGATCCCGAACTATTACTTAGATATGATATCGTTTGAAAGCAATATCTAAGGGCCAGTTTAAGAAACCATTAAATAAGTAAAGGAGGTTCGGTGGTATCGTGGTTAAAAATAAAAATATTATGAAACATCTAATAATTATTGATAATCAAATATGCACACAGGGTCATTGCCACACTTTCCCAATTCAAAAGCTAATATGTCTGTCCATACGGTTATCTTTGCTGTCATCGAGGTCACGAGTTAAAACTAAACTGGCGTAATTAACGAGGTTCAGTAAATTAATAACATAACACCAGCCTATAAGTGCACATTGCTAAGCACTGCTCTTCTTACGCGGAAAAGGGATGGACATTATACACATCATGCTTACTCTAGGCGAATTGGTGAAAATCCTCCAATGACTTCTTCCACCCTGGGTGGAGAAAAAGGAGTTGTCAGACTCTTACTGACTAAAAACCACCCAGTTCTTTGTTCTACTCCAATCCCAGCCGCGGTAAGTTTTTAATCTTGCACCAATAGCTGGAGTAATGCTCTGAATTATAGGCCTGTTATTCTGGCATGAACTATTTTCTCCGAGACGTCCAAGCTCCATTTAGAAAGAGATAAATATTTTGGCTTAAAGCGGGAACTATGCCAGACTCTCCGTTACTTCGATATGTTTGAAAAACTGAATAATCGATATGACTTTATTTAGCAGCGATATTCTGAAGACAGGCGATAGTAGTGTGTTTAAATAACAATAAACGGATCTCCAACACGAAATTTATAAAAATAAAAATTATAATTTCGAAAAATAAAGAGACTCGCTTCTATGTGAATAAGTTTTATATTTCTACAGCAAGAAATAAATTAAAATACATGACCGGAGATCATAAAATTTCTAAAGTGTTTTTTTACATGAAAATAAAAATGGTAACAACTTTTACTTTGCAAAAAATATCTTTTAGTGGTTCGCTGTAACCGAGTTATATGTACCGTAACGCTTTTCATGTTACGAAAAAAGCAATTTAATGAGTTTTTAACAAACTTTCACCGTTTGGTTGAGCAATGCCCCCGCGTCTCGTGTGGTCACGATGTATCGCTCTGTTTCTTCTATGTAATTGCTAATTACCATGCACATACAGACATGCAACCCTCATTAATTAATAAAAAGCGCAATTTTAGCGAGTACCAAATTTTTGGTAATAACGCCATCTGTGAGTTAAGGCTTGAACTTATATCAGCGTTTGAAAAGCTTTGGAGGAAAACTGTTGTAGTTTGTGAGTGATGTAATAGATGGATCTGTTTGCAATTAAATATGAAATAAATGTTGTGATGCAATTATTATTGTTGTTACAGCTACTGTTATGACAAAGTAACACGCATCGCATTATAAACGCGTCGAAAGTTAATCACGCGTACCATCTATTAAAATAAAAATTACATCAGATACTAAAATGGGTGAAGGTTTCGTTGGAGCTATTTGGACTTGTTAATTACCTATTCCTTACTAATCCGATATAATTATCATAGTTACCAAACTCATAATTTTCGAAAGGTTTTTTTATGAAGGAAATAACTGTGATGCTGTCCAGCCCACCTATTATAAAGCAGCACAACGAAAGAAAAAGAGAACGTCGAAACTACCGATAGAACCACTAAAGAATTATTATAAAAATAAGAAAACCACCTGACCACTTTACACCGCAAAACGAAAACAGCAATCATAACAGAAAATTAGATGTTGAGGTGTACAAAATAATATAATAGCGTATATAACTACAGCTAGGTACTTAAAGAAGCTATGCAGAGTAACCGCCGCCAATGACTTTCGGATGATATTTTTTCAATCTTTTCAACTTTCAAAATAATTGCATCCATCAGTAACGGTTGTTGGTACCGTTGCCTACACAATTGTAGACTATACTACTGATATAGGGTTGTCACTTTAATATATTTTTGGCTGACTTCACTTACTGTAAGCTAATTTGTTATGAAAATACATCTGTTTTGACAGGTGTGGACTGAAATGTTATTTTTTTTTTTACTTTACTTTGGCATTTCATTAATTAAAGAGTATAGAGCGAGTAAAGTTACTTGTTCATTATGGATAAGTAATCGGATGTTTCAAGTATCATTTAATTGAAATTGGATGGAAACCGTAATTCTCACCATACTTTTATTGATTTTTTATTCAAATGTGTTAAGGGATAGCAGTTTTAAGAATACTTTTGCCTGACTTGTTGAAAGACACCAAGAAGTGATTTTTTTGCCGAAGTCTATGTTCAACGAAGGGTGTTTTTAGGGTCCGAGTGAATAGGTTGCTTATAGGTTGCTCCATAGTACGTCTCATCATTGCTTAGCACCATGCAAAATAATGACCAAACGTCGACACATTACAAGTAAAAACGGCCCTTACTCAGTTCGTAGCAGAACCACAGGACAAAGAAAAAAATGTGTGTTATTCTGACTTTGGTTCAGAGACAGCCCTATCTGCTAGCAACAAGAGCAGTCACTTCAATGGCGGGATTTGCGGAAGTCACGTGCGCCTCGCTTCATTCGTTTAGTTTTTATTCGAAGCGTGATCACTAGTGATAGAGTCGCCATCTAGTCATTATTTAATGGTCCTATGCTTCTACAGTATTATGTGATGTTTTTTTTTCTGGGAAAATGGTAGCAATGTTTTGTCTTCTCGATAGTTTTCGTTCCTTTTTCCCTGTTTTTATATCGAGAGCACAAATAAAAGGGGATGTATGTATTATTTGTATGTTTGAAACTTACGATAAAAAATTAAAAATGTTTAGGAATATTTTGATAAAGAACTAAAATGCGAAGCTTTAATAAATTAATTTCTCAACCCTTTTCTTTACATACGAAATTTTTATATAGGTATACTTTATTCTATAAGTACATCATGTATGTCAAGAATAAAATGTTAGTAATTAGATTACGTTGCGATACGTTCGTATGTAACCCAGTGGCTTACAAACATTCGCAGTAAGCTACAAGTTTACTGTCTTAGGAAGTGTACTTTTCTGTTACAAGACAGCTAGGATATCTAAGTCGGGATTGGGGTTAAACCGGTTTTATCCAGTATCTGATTTTTGTAGAACTCTGTTTATATGAAAGTGAAATACTAACATCTGGTTTTTAACGAAAGACACATCTTTTTCCAACATTTTTTTTATGGAGATATGGCACAAGCCGTTCCTAAACACGACAAATAGCAATTAGGTCAACTGATTATATTCAAATGACATCATCAGCCTTTTTTTTTGTCAGGGGAAAATCATCAAATGACTACTCCTGCTCAGGGTAAGTCGAGAGAGATTTCAGAGTCTTACTGACTTAAAACCCCCCCGTTCCTTCTCCTGGGCCGAGGCCGCGGTGACTTATTGTGCTTAACCCGCAACGCCGGCTGTTCATTATTATGACTGTGTTTTGTTTTTTGTTATGCTTAAAGAGGTTCAATAACTCTTTTGACATTTATTTCATATTTGCACATACAAACTTCTTAACATATTTGTGTTTGCTTTTCTCAAAACTTTCCGCCATACTCCGATACATTATACCCTCGTTAGTCATTGTTGGGCCCAGAGGTTAAGGCGCCCGCTTCTCATGCATGACGAGGTGGATTCAAAACCTGGCAAGTACCAATGTGACTTTTCTGAGTTATATTAAGTACTTTCTATGACTTAAGCAAGCATAGTGATTAATGATTAAACCTTCTCCGTATTAGAAGAGGCCTTTGCTTGGCAGTGAGCACTTATACGCTGACGATATATGTCATTGAAAAAACGACAATCGTAATAATATTGTATAGCCAGTATTCTCAATAAATGTATGATTGTATGTATGTATGTATATATGTACAATTGAGAAAGCAAATCAATATCTTGTGCATTTCGTTTCTCTTTGCAGCTGTAAAGGTTCGCACACACAAGTAGTATTTATATTAAACACACCAATTTATTAGAGCATAGCTTTTGTCTTGGCATACTTTCACTTATTACAAATATAAAGAGGCTTAAATAAGGTATTGAATTTCAACTGTTCGAAAATAATGAGTACCTACATTAAAATTGTGACAATCTATTTACACGTCATTATAAAAAAAAAACTAAGTGACATTCATTCTGAGAGTTAATAGGTGGTAATCTGACTATTTTTAAAAGATATGCATTTTAATTCAAAGTTTAACTCGAAATTGACTTGTCTAATATTCATTGCTCTCTGAGGTGTCTTTTGTAATCTACTGTTGGATTTTTAGGGCACCATGCTAAATCCAAACTAATATTATAAATGCGAAAATAAATCTGTCTGTCTGTCTTTTCTTCACGCCTAAACTAATGATCCGATTTCAGTGAAATTTGGTACAGACATAGTTTGAAATTCAAGAAAAGACATAGGTTAGTTTTTAAACCAAAAATCTGCAGGAAGTCACTATTTGGAGTCGCGGGCAAAAGCTAGTGCTCTATAAATCCAATAGCATATCAAAGGAGAGGTCGACCAAGTCACCATAAGCCCGAAAAAATTGCACTTTTAAGACTGCAGTTTGCCAAATCGCGTAGACGCTCTGGTTGACTGGGAATTCCGGTGCTAAGCGCAACAATGCACCGAGCCCCTGGCGTAAAGTAGGATGAAACGGTTGGTTTTTAGTCAGTTAGAGTGACACTTTCTCTCATACCGCCCAGGGCCGGAGAAGTCATCTGATGACTTTACTTCTCGAAAGACCCTCAAAAAAACAACCACCAACTCAACAAACAACAACATCTGATTAAGTGAATAGAAAAAAAATGCTCATATTTGATGTACATTGACATTCAAAACAAAAATGGAAATCCATATTGTCAACCCTGTCTATTGATTTTTCTAGTCACTTGATCCGACTAATGTTTTATGTCATTTGCCAAAGTCATGGTGAGTAGGTTTTAAACTAGAAGCTAGTAGGTTAGAAAATAGACTGTAACTCAGTGTAAGCTAAGCTTAAATGCAATTTCTCCGGCAAGGCAATGACCGTAGTAAGAAGTGGTACGAGACGCGTTACTATCTCCGGTTTGTACAAGGCTGTTCAAATAACTGTTAGTTTAAGATACGGTTTTTAATAAAATTTATTTTTTTTAACTGGGAAATCCATTAATTGATTAGTGTCGTGTGATATGGTGAGGAAGGATCGAATTGAAGATTCGGTGGTTAACTTTTTTTGTTGCGTATTTTAAAATTTTAGAAAAGCCCTGCTGAAATGTGTGCGTCTTAAGAATGAAAAATAATATAACTGAGAATTTTTATTTTTATTGAGTAATAAAATGAAAAGAGGAAAATGTGCTTTGATTTATTATAAAAATATTTAAAATTGAATTTCATCAAACGCATTTTAATATGTGTCTATCACAAACTAAATATTTATTATTTTAAATATAATTTTATGTATATCCCAAAGGACTTATAGAATGTTAGATCCAATTTTAAGTATTTAAATATTGTATCTTTTTATTATATTTAAATATGACGTATGTGTGTTAAAGATAAGCCGCTAGTTATCACTTTCAATTAACCCTTCCATTAACCAGATAAAGACTTGACCAAAAAACCGCATCCAGACATCACAAAAATCACTCTTAAAAATCTAGACTCAATAATATTAATTAAAAATTCACCTTGGAACTGGAAAATTAGGTCACAAGCCAAAGTCTCTACAATGAAAACACTGGCACTTTGTCGTAACGTGTTGTTGGATTTTTTGACACTTTTTGTACCAAAATAAACTGTTGTTGTGGCGCGGTGATCGCGCTAAACCGAATGGAGCGGGTGGTGCGTCTGCGCAGGTTTTATTATTTCGTTACGCGGCGTGAGCGCGGCTTAGGAGGGATGGTGTTTGTTTGGATGGCAAGGTTTTGGTTGCAATGAAAGCGGTGGGATGTACCAGAGATTGTGAATAATTTGTATTTCATTCCATTAATCCAACTATTCCACAATTTTTTGGCCAAAATACTGCCATTGCTAATATGACCTATAGTGATTTTAGTAATGGAATCACTTCAGCAGCATTTAAAGATACTCCAAAGATGGACCAGAGTGACAAATAAATCACAATGATCAACCGAGGCCCAGCTCGAAGCAGTGGAAGGAACAGGGTGGCTTGTAGTCAGCACGAGTCTGAGTCAAAGGAATCTTGTAGCTCACCAAGGGTGGAAACAGTCAATAATATTTTCCTTTGAAAAATTTGGATGTTATAATGATATGGCAATTATATGATAAAGCGGCTCATGCGGGAGAACAGATTGGATCATTTCCTCCCTAAAAGAAGGTAGTAGGTAGGCAAAATACAAAAGTGCTGACGGATCATCTAATGAAAAAGGGATCAACGCCGCTCATGGGCACTCACAACACCAAAAAAGTCACAGACGCATTGCCGTACTTCGAAAAAGCATATCAGTTTAGTATTAATCGTATAGCCTTTACACAATTTTAAACATAAAAAGTATTATATACAGTTTTACACGATTTAGAACCCCTTTCTTGGAGGAGGCCTCTTACATGGATCTTACTTAAACACGGACACGGACACGGAATGTGGTTATAGGAATAAACTTTACCATTACATGTTTTAATTTGATCGCAAGCACCTGGCCTTGAGCAGAAGAATAAACGGGGTGGTTCAGAGTCAGTAAAAGCCCGCCACTCATTTTCGCCTAGGGCAGGAAAAGCCATTAAAAGGTTTTCCACTTCAAAAAAACAATAATGTATATTTTAATAAAAACCTGACCTAGGACCAACTTTAAATAGAATTGAACAAAACACAGTCACATGTGCCGTAGCCCTCCCTGGAAAGCATAATGTAAATATTTTGTAAAATAATCTAGACTATAAAGCCCGCTGTCAGTATGACCGAACATCAGTCAAAGCCATCGACAATGAGTCATCGTCACGGAGATAGCTATAAGAAAAGTAAAGTGGCCGCAGATTCTGATCTCTGGACAATACACAGCTATCTTTATTGAGATCATCATGTAAAAAACAGTAATTTTTGCAGAAATAGTTTATTTATTGCGGTTTTCGCTTTTTATATACTATATTTTATTATTTATAGCACGTGACTTTGTAGTGAAAAGTTTCGGGAGAAAGAGGAAATCCTATCAATTTTGTTAGTACCGTTTATAGGAGAAAATTATCTCTCTCTTTTTCTCTTAGAAAAGTGTAAATGGGTCTTTGTCGTTCTTTTAGTTCTGAGTAAAACCACAGAGAGTAGAATAAAGCTCGGTGTACTTATCCAAAATGAGATTCTTCCCATCTGGAGTTGCGGATCAAGTACAATGATTTACCGCTACCCGGCGCGGAACAGGAGGTAAAGCAGGGTAATTTTTAGTCAGTAAGAGTGTAATATTTCCTCTCTCTTTAATATAAATAATATAATAAATAATAAATAATAATAATATACAAATAAAATAATATTTCCTCTCTCAATATTTCTTTCTCTCTGCTTAGGGTGGAATAAGTAATTCAATGGTTTTTGTCTTAATGTAAACCTAGCTTATATGTTACGGCACTTATAGAATGGCTGATGAAAAGTAAGTTATAAATTGTTATTGCTTGTGCTCTTCTTTGTATCTCTCTGAGGATTTAAAGCTAAGCTAGATAAGTATTAAAGCTATAACTATATATAAAAAAATCCCTAAATCTCTAATGCTCTTTTCTCAAACGCTAGTCACTTTACAATGGTTTACTACCTATATAGTATTGTCATAGAAATACTAACTAAGTGTAAACACATTGATAATATAAAGCGGTTAAATGTTTCCAAAACATTAGGCACCAAAAGTAATAAATTATTCGTTCATTGCAATCTACTTCGTAGCGCTTTTTATGTAACGAAAAATATTCGATTATTCACGAAAACTGTATAATTCGTTTTCATGCACATTCATACATTACTTCGTAATATTGCTTCAAAACAGCAGAGCCTTTACAGTCACGCATTTCAGTAGTTTTTGTCGACGATAAGCACGAGATTTAAAATGAAAGTTTTTTGTAAAAAATCTTCGCCAATATAATGTGATAGAAAAGACATCAACGCGTTTTTGTAAAGTTTTAATCTAAGTTTAAATCTAATTAATTTTAACAACATCCATCTTCGTTTTCAGCATCATATGTGTACTATTATTTCAAATTTCACATCTCAGTTATGTGTATCATATGTGTCGACCAATGAAGTTATATAATTATAACAAAACAAGGTTTTGAAGTTCACAGAGGTACATTTTGTTACTCAACAGCTTACTATCCTAATAGTTAGGCAGCGAGATGCCACCTGTACACCAGTCAGAAGATCATTTCATGCATTACAATGCATCATTGCACTTGCATCTTGAAAGAGTGGAATTCTAATGACTTCTCTGGCCCTGAGTAGGGTGAGAGGGGTTTCAGGTTCTAACTGCACTTACATTGGATTATATACAGTATCTATTTACTTTAAAACTGCAAAAAATATTTTCTGTCGATGTTAGCAAATAACAAGTTTCTATTTATAGGTTTTAACGAAATATAAGTTTACAGACAGCTTGAAATGAAGGTTGATAATTATTGTGAAGAATAAATACATTTTCACTAATAACGAAATTTGCAAACATTAAAATCATCATTGTAAAAGGGAATACTGACAAATGCTCCAGGGATTATTTCGAGGTATTCCATGAAACACACCCAAGCGCACACCTAGTGCTTCGTGGAATAGGATATTAATTATTTTAAAAGTTTTATTTGAAGCTCACCTACGGGTGTGCTAAGTGGAATACTTTAGGCGTGCTTCGTCTGGGTGTGCTTCATTGAATACGTAGTGCCATTAATTTATTGATATGCATGCTTTAGGCTGTAAGGAAGAGGAGTTTGTGTAGGCTGTAAAACTGTAAGCTTATCAAATATTGCAATTAAAAGTATTTTTTGTAAAAGCATGTGTTTTAATAAAAACAATTATCACAACAGCGTGACGCATTAAAACATTAAAATGGAGAAAGCGCATTTTATTTTTAAATTACCATCTATGCATATATTGCATAAATATATGTACATACACACCTACGTAATAATTTTGAAATAATCCTATTTTTAGGATTATTATTTAATTTACGTCTTATTTATGTTAAATTACTTAACACTATATTTTCTTTATTGTGGAAAGAAATGAGGAAATTAAAATTCCCCATAAGGCTCATTATTATACTTAAAGTCACTAACTGACAAATTGGACGCTTGTTGCTCAAATTTTGAATATTCCAACAGAGACATCTCATTCAATCTCATCATCAACAGGGACAGAAGAGCAGGGAGAAGAGAGATGAATCTCTTTAAGAGTTTTTCATGTTTGAGAACTATCCTGGATCCTATTCATGACCTTGAAAACCATCTCTATTGAAGACAAGACCACATTCTTGACAATATATAACGCAGTCATTCATTTTTATCTTAGCCATCAAAAGTCTGTATTGTCCGTCGTAAAAAGTGTTATATTAAAACATATAAGTCATTTTTATTTCGTCATGTTCACAATAAAATGAGTGGCGAATTCCGTAACCGTAATGCGCTGAAAGTGTCTAATCGAGGTGAGTCATAGTGGTGTGATGTACCCCCTCTAGTTCGGGGTACTGATTACATTGATACACGTGATTTTCATATCTATGGGTTAGACGGTAAGGTACTTTTTCTTTTGTGAAAGTTCTTTACTGGTAGATTTATACATAGTTATTTTTAAACAAGAAATAGGGTTTATTCTCACTTTGAATTATATTGTTACTAGCTTTTGCCCGCGAGTAGCTTTCGTTCGCGTGAAATAGTGACTTCTTTCAGATGTTTGATTTAAAAGCTATCCTTTCTCGAGTTCTAAACTATGTCTGTACCAAATTTCACACAAATCGGTTCAGTAGTTTAGGTGTGCAGAAAAGACAGACAGAGTTACTTTTGCATTGTTAATAATTGCTTGGATTAGTTGTAGCTGTGTGAATAAGCCTTTGCGTATCCTTTGCATTCCTCCCTTAAACAAGGTCCTGAGATATTTTTTTGATAGTGGTTACTGTAACAACGGCCAAGAATAAGCAGATCAATAGTCACATTAAAATCGAATGTAAGACGGGCTATTTTTTGGGTGCAAACTTGAAAATTTGTCGATTGCAATTGTAGATTTCCTACACGACCAACATTCAATCAAATTTAAATTGAATAAATGTATACCACCAGCTCTAAAAAATTAACTAATAATGTATCACTTTAAAAAAATCAAAGTACTTTATTTTTTGAAGCTCTTTAAATGTGTCAAAGTTCTTTAAAACCCTTAAATACTTTTGAATACCTAGTAACTACTAATAATGAGGGTACAAGAAAATTTACGTAACGTACGTCGTACTTCAATGGAAACAATCACCTCGAATGATTATATTCATGTCGAAATATCGTTCGCCGCTAATGTTGAATTCGCGTTGGGTATGGCTGCCCTGACCGCAGTGGGGTCTTTATTGCGGGCTACTGTAATGTTGATGGTATTTTCCCAAATTGTCTTTTGTAGGGGATACTATGGGGTCTAAGGGATAATAATGAAGTAATGGAGTAGTATTGCGAAGGGTTTGGAGTGAAAATGTCTTTGTAAGGCGTTCAAGTTGAATGGTTAGAACTGTCGTATTTACGTTCTTTATTGTTTTTCTTGCTTCGAGGAAACTAGCCAAGATCGAAAACAGACTGTCACATAAAGGGATACTAGTAAAAATCGTTTTCAAGAAAGCGTTGAAGTATCTGCTTTACGAAAAAT